TGGAATAAAAGCCAGGCCATGACTGCACTCACCTTAGGCCTGCGCGACCAAGCCTTAACTGTGTTGGAAGCTCTCGGTAAGAAAGTGACCTACGAGCAGCTCCTTGAGGCATTGGAGGCGAGATATGGCGACGCTCACCTGGAACACGTCTTTCGTGCGCAACTTAAAGATCGTGTGCAGCGCATCAACGAAAACCTGCAGCAGTGGGCTCTAGAAGTGGAGAAGCTGGTGCGAAAAGCGTACCGGTCTGTACCTGCGCTCATTGAAGGGAACCTGGTGCAGACATTCATCGACGGCATCCGCGACCTGGAAGTCAGAGCTGCTGTGAGGCTCGGGCACCACGAGACGCTTAAGGACGCCTTGGCCCATGCACTGGAAGTGGAAGCCGTGCGGCAGGATCATCGTTCCCATCGCGTCAGGGAGGTTGCAGCAGCTACAGTTCGCGACCGCAACAAAGGATACAGCCCAAGGTGCTATGGCTGTGGGGAAAAGGGCCATCTTCGATCCAGCTGCCCTAAGCGAACCCTAGAAAGGGAAATTGAACGATCTCAGGAGGGTAGTGCGGCCAACAGCACCGCCCAGCAGCGGCAGGGAAACGAGTAAAAGCCAGAACTGCGGGGCGGGTGCTGGCTGATGTTAAAAGAGCCCCAAGGATCTCGATCTCACAAACCCATGATGGGAACAGCCTAATCATAAAGGGCGAGATCAACGGAATGCCGTGTAAGCTGACCATAGACACTGGAGCCTCTCGTACGGTTGTTAGTTCCCAACTTATAAGTCAGTTCCTTGGGGACTCCGCATACAACCGAGAACGCCTTAATTTGGTAACAGCCACCGGTCAGCGTATACCCGTCCGTGGAGAGAAGGAGATGGAGTTGAAGCTAGGCAACGTGATCTACCTGCATAATGTCATCGTGGCTGATATAATGGACGACTGCATCTTAGGCCTAGACTTTATGAGGAATAATTGTTGTGAGATCGACGTTAAGCAAGGTGTTTTGAAATGTGGACAGGAGGAACTTTTTATGGAAGGTGCGTTACCAGGGAACGTGTACAGCATCAAGAAGATTGTTCTTCCGCCGAGATCGGAAACGATTGTTCCGGTTAGTCTACCTCGAAACGCTGGGCAAGCTCACCGTTGTGTACTTGTGGAAAGGGTAAACAATGACCTTCCATGGAAAGTAGCTCGAACCTTGGTCAGGACCACTGACATCTCAGGAGTACGTGTGCTGAACCTTTGCGACCGGGAACAGATTATAGAAAAAGGCACACTGGTTGGTACTTGTGAGGAAGTGGATTGGTTACGTCAGTGCCAATATATATCGAGTGGGACCCCCAGCAAGGATTCAGAAACGAGAGTGACCACACTTTTGGAAGACTGTCGCAGTGTTCTGTCCCCGAACGAATTGGTCAAGGCGAAGAAGTTGTTACTCAGGTACGCCGATGTATTCTCATCAAATGATGCTGACATAGGAAAGACTGGCCTAGTTCAACACAAAATAAACACAGGAGAGGAATTGCCTATCCGTCAGCGGCCAAGAAGATTGCCGGTAGCACGTGAAAAGGAAGTGGAAACCATGATTGAAGGAATGGTGAAGGATGGTGTTATTGAACCTTCCTCTAGTCCATGGTGTTCACCAGTGGTGCTGGTGAAAAAGAAGGATGGCAGCATGCGGTTCTGTGTTGATTACCGCCGTCTGAACGACGTTACAAAGAAGGACAGCTATCCCTTGCCAAGAATTGATGACACGCTGGACATGCTTACAGGAGTAAAATGGTTTAGCACGCTGGATCTAAAAAGTGGCTACTGGCAAGTTGAAATTGACCCTAAGGACAAGGAGAAAACTGCGTTCTCGACGGGAAAGGGTCTGTGGCAATTCAAAGTAATGCCGTTTGGGTTGTGCAATGCTCCAGCAACGTTTGAAAGGCTGATGGAACTTGTACTTACCGGGCTAATTGGCGATGCCTGTCTGGTCTACTTGGATGACATCATCATCGTGGGCCGTACGTTTGAGGAACACCTTCAAAACCTGGAACGCGTGCTCATGAAGATTCAGAGTGCCAACCTCAAGTTGAGCCCGAAGAAATGTTCACTATTTCAACGTCAAGTTAACTTTTTGGGGTTTGTAGTATCGGAAGAAGGTATCCGCACAGATCCAGAGAAAATCGCCGCTGTCAAGGATTGGCCGGTTCCAAAAGACAAGACGCAGGTTAGAGCATTTTTGGGTTTGTGCTCCTATTACCGGCGATTCGTGAAGAACTTTGCAGATATAGCCAAACCTCTGCACAAGCTAACCGAGGAGAAGCGACATTTCTGCTGGGATGAAAGTTGCAATATCGCATTCCAGGAGCTCAAGGACCGTCTGTGCAAAACACCTATTTTGGGATACCCTGATGCAAGCAAAGAATTTATAGTTGACACAGACGCAAGTGATATAGGACTCGGCGGTGTGTTGTCTCAACGGAATGGTGACCAAGAGGTCGTGATAGCGTACTTCAGCAAGTCGTTGTCAAAACCGGAAAGGAACTACTGTGTCACAAGACGCGAATTGCTAGCTGTGGTAAAGTCGTTGCAACATTTTAGCAAATATCTTCTGGGACGAAAATTTCACTTACGAACTGACCATGCTGCACTAAAATGGCTATTGCAGTTTAAAAACCCAGAAGGACAAGTTGCGAGGTGGATTGAACTACTGCAGGAATACGACTTTGAGATCGAACATCGCAGCGGGAAATCTCATGGCAACGCAGATGCATTGTCAAGAAGACCTTGTCCTGAAGATTGCAAACATTGTACTAGGCAAGAGAGTAAGGAAGTGGTATCCGTGAGGATGCTCAGGGCAGACCACCTCAGCAACGAGTGGAAGGACAGCTTACTACATGCACAGCAGGAAGATCCGGACATCAAGCCGATCCTGGAATGGATAAAGGCCAGTGCTCCCAAGCCCAAGTGGAGTGACGTCTCAGCGATGAGTTCGACCACTAAAAGCTATTGGGCCCAGTGGGACAGCTTGCTGCTTCAGGATGGAGTTCTGTGTCGTAAATGGGAAAACGTTCGGGGAGACAGCTGTCATTTGCAAATGGTTGTCCCTAAAGTTAAAGTACCGGATGTTCTACAGCTGTACCATAATGATTGTTCAGGAGGCCATCTGGGAGTTAAACGAACTCTATTGAAGATCCGAGAACGGTTTTACTGGGTCCACTGTCGAAACGATGTCGAGGACTGGTGTCGCAAATGTACAAGTTGTGCGGCTGTAAAGGGACCTCAGACTCGTAGTAGAGGTGCATTGAAATTGTACAATGTTGGTGCACCATGGGAGAGAATAGCCATTGACGTGGCGGGGCCGTTTCCGGAGAGTGAAAGCGGTAACAAGTATTTCATGGTTGTGATGGATTACTTCACTAAGTGGCCAGAAGTCTTCGCCATTCCAAATCAAGAAGCTTCAACAGTTGCAGATAAACTAGTTCATGAAGTCTTCTGTCGTTTTGGAGTACCTTTAGAGATTCACAGCGATCAAGGAAGGAATTTTGAGTCTCAAATATTCCAGGAAACTTGCCGAGTTATGGGTACTCATAAAACAAGAACTACTTCTTATCACCCGCAATCTGATGGAATGGTGGAACGATTTAATCAGACATTGGAGAGGTACCTAGCAAAAGTTGTAGACAATCGGCAACGAGATTGGGACAAGCACATACAACCGTTTTTGTTGTCATATCGAAGTTCTGTTCACGAAAGTACAGCAGTGACACCAGCTTTCGCAAACTTTGGAAGAGAATTACGGCTGCCTGCAGACCTGATCACCGGGATACCACCCGATGCTCCACGCAGTATAACCGATTATGCAAATGACTTGCGGAAAAAAATGAATGACGTTTATGAGCACGTCAGACAATCGGGCCAGCAAATGTCTGAAAAGATGAAAACCCGGTATGACCGCAAAATGAACAACAAAGGGTTCGACGAAGGTTCACTTGTGTGGTTGCACAATCCAGTCCGCAGCAAAGGGAAATCTCCTAAGCTTCAAGCTAAATGGGACGGCCCGTACCGGATTGTAACCAGGATCAACGATGTGACCTACCGGATACAGAAAGGCGCAAGAGGGACTCCTAAGATCGTCCATGTGGATCGCTTGGCGCGTTATTATGGGACCGATAATGCTCGGGACGAGCATGTCTTAGGAGGGGGCAGTGTTGCATGAATAAGTCAACTAGCGCCATCTAGTGTCAGGAACGAGAGCGAGGGGAGCATTGAGAAAATGACATCACAAATCGCTCAACTGACAGCGCCTAGTCGAAACTCGAACGCTCGATACCTTCCGCGTGTTTACTTGAACATTCTGGATATTTCTTTGCTAATTCAAATATATAGGCGCTGCAAGATGCGATCGAGGCAGAGTGAACTCGGCGACACAAGCGAAGCTTCGGAGTGGAATTAAGTGAATTAGTGTGTTTAAATTATTAGTGTTTTAACTTTAATTGTGTAAAGTAAATTAAAGTGTTAATTTAGGTAATTTTATCGGCAATTTTTATTGTCACGAACCTCAAGCTCGTAACAATATATATTCAAAAAATCAAAAGAAAACCAAAACTATGTGTCAGATCATAAATAACGAGACAAACAAAAATACATTAAAATACAGAAATATGAGACTCACAATACCAGATCTCCACTCGGACTCATTTATTACTTTTTTTACATCTATTGGAAATATACACTCAAATTTACAGTACTTTAAATAGAACACCTGTAACAAAAATTATCGAAACAACTTTTTTAAGCTAAGTAGAAACTAATAAAATTATAACCAAAAAAAAAATCTTAAAAATAAATTATCCTTCGGTATTGATGAAATTACTTCTACTTCAATAAAAAGTTGTACTGATTTGTTAACAGTCACCTATACAATATCAGTAAACTAACCGTTTTCAGAAGGTATCTTCCGAGATGCCCACAAAATATCTCTAATCAAACCCATGCAAAAAAAGGGTGAACTTACCGACATAAATAATTGGGTTTTAAATGAAAATTATTTAACCTTTTTTATTAATCATTTATCACTATAGTGTGTTTTTTTAACAAACGAGTACTGAGTATGTATCTCCCACATTTCTGATATTGACATAGTAAGATGGGTCATTGTTTGTGGTAAGGCCAACGTCGTTGTTCTCGTTTTGAAATTGTAAAGGCTCGTTCATATTCAATACTACTAAAACTGAAGGCAAAAATTCAATTATTTTTATATATAAAATAATTTCATAAATAAATAACAATAAAACAATATTGGATATAGTATAAATATATTATGACAAGAACTTATAAATAAAAAAATTATTACATAATTATTGTAATCTTAAAAATTATCGTTATCACTAACTTCTGATGAACTTTCTGCAAACACGCGATTAATAAACTGCTCTATCATATTTCCCACATTATTGTCGACTTCGTACACTTTTGTTTTGATCTTGGTTATCACATCGGATTGTATCATATAGGGTTTGGATATTTTTTTTCTATCCACTTTAGCTACTCCTTCTAACAAGAGTTCGAACTTCATCAATTTTATAACTTTTGTTATTTGCTGCCACTTTCCTTAAGCCCAAACTACAAGCTCAATTGGGTTGAGTTTACAGTGGTACGGTGACAAACGTATGACGCGATGATTTGTGGACATGGCCATCTCGTCTACGACAAATTTTTAAAGCGATCTTTTTTTTGCTTAACTAAATCCAAAAGTTGCAACTTTAACATTGGTACGTCACAAGCAATATCTTTCGACCGTAGCCATCCAACAATGTCTTGTTTACGATATGAAGTTGTTGGTGCCTTGTAGAGTTTTCAAGAATGATACGATGCATCATCTAAAACAATAAGTGCATTCTCATCCAATTTCGGTAAAAGGTCTCGGAATCAATTTTCAAAAACTTTTGAGTCCCTATCTTGGTACTTCTACAAATACTGTCGATATGTATAATTACAAGCCGCTTGCCTTTTTCTGCAATAATAATAAAGCATCCGTCAGTTAAATAACTTGTATTTTTATAGAATATGTGCAGATTTATTTATAAAAAATATAAAAAAAGAAAATACAAAATTAAAGACAATATATTACCTGAAGGATTTTTCAACCTTGTTGATAGCCCATCTAAGAATGCAGATCTCGATGTAGTCACTGTATTGTCAACCCAGACTTTTGATTTTGTATGACCAACATTTACCCACGTCTCATCGAAATAATATATCCGATCTGAAATAATAGTTTTGTCTGGCTGCCTTTACTTCGTCTAAATGTTTTCATCACCAAAAAACTATATCCGGCCTTTCTACTAAAATACTGTTTCTACCTCTCGTTATAGGAAAAACCCAAATTTTTTAGTGCTTTGTACAATGTCAATCTTCACATAGATGGGAACTCAGAATCTTCCTTTATGATGTTCAGGTTTTTATCTAACGTAACCTCATTTTCATTTGGAAAATAAAATTTGTGCATCACATTTTGAAGAGCGCTCTTCGTAAAATCATTATATTATTTGGTAATACTCAAGTTTCTTTTTCAGTGATTTAGGTGGTCCACCTAATTTAATGTCTCCAATAACCTAAAAAACGAAACACATCTAATAATATCTTAATTAATATTAATTTATATAATAACTAATTTATAATTTAGTTAGTTTAGTTTTTATTTTGAAATTTAGTTTGACGTAATTTATAAATTACTATTGTGTATTTAATTAATTTATCTATTTATAATAAATAAGATATAATATAATATTACCAATATTATATTGGTGCGAAGAATCTCCGGGAGGAAAACCAGCGACAAGGTTCACCACCCATCACATTCAGTCTCCGGAAGGGGCCAAAAGTGGATTGCAGAAGCCTGTCTGGCTACACATATGTATGATAGAGGAATAGATGTGTTATGTGTAAATGAAAGGAAAGGGAAGGATGTCACTACACATGGCACGTATACCGCATACTGGCCTGGTGGAGACAAGATGGAGCAGGCATGCCAGGGAGTAGGCATCATCTTTTCAGAAAGAATGGGCCAATGTATGAAAGAGTATGAATGTGTAAACCAGAGACTACTATGTATTCGAATGAAATTGGCTTAAAGAAGTCGTTTGTGCTAGAGGTCTACGCCCCAGACATGTCTAAGCCCACTTATATCCGAGAGCATAACTCGGAAATGATAAGGATGGTGTTAATGAAATGTAAAGGAAATGAAAATATTATTATGCTAGGAGATTTTAAAGGAAGGGTTGGGGTGAAGAGGCTTGGTTATGGAAGGGTATTGGAAACGTTTGGTGATGAAAGTATAAATGAGAATGGTAAAAGGCTCCTCACCGTATTTATGGAAAAGAATCTTTTTGTGACGAACACTTTCTTTCGCCACAAGAGGATTCAAATGTATACTTGGAAAAGACGTGATAATAGAAGCATGACAGATTTCGTAATTGCGCATAAAAGAATGAGAAGCGCAGTGGTAGATACAAGAGTTTACCGGGGGTCTAACGTAGGAACGGATCATTATTTGGTTTTATGCCGAATTAATGGTCTATTCAGGCATTGGCGTCATCGGACATCTGTATTTACCACTGCGTTACAGCGTATTAGAACAGAAAGGTTACAAGATGAAGATGAGAAAAACAAATAAAAAAGAAAATATATATATAAGTGGTTTGGATGAATTATATATGATTGAGTAAGACTTGGAGAATGTACGACAAGACGTTAATAAACAACACATGTGTATAGCAAAACGTTAAGAAGTTTAAAAAAATGCATTTCATTCCGAAAAATTCTTTAGAAAAAGCTACAATAAAAAACGTACCAACATTAAATAATTGGGTTACAACACTAGAAAGCCTAATAAGAGTAATGCAATCAGAGGGGGTCAGTTTCTTTTACACAAGAAACCTAAATCAAGACCCCCTCGAAAATTTCTTGGGCAAAATAAGAGCATATAATTATATATATACCAACCCCGACACATTTTCATTGCGAAAATCTTTTAAGTCATTATTTATGACAAGACATGCTGACCATCCACACAAAAATATGGGGGAGACCATATTAAACATAACAAGTTTATTGAATGAGAAATTTACTTCAGATGAACAACCAGTCCTCGGTAGTCATGATAATAGAAATACTAGTTGTTTATCTAAAGTAAACTTATCAGGGAATATGGTCTCATCCGTATTTGAAGAAAAAATAAATGTTAATGCGAGGAGTTACACACTTCAGGATATATAATAAAAAAACTGTGTAAATAAATGTAAAAATTGCAAAAATATACATTTTTAAATAATGAGGATCAGCAGCTTAATGTCCATGATTTAATTAGACACAGGGAGTGAAAGCACCTTAAAGGTAAAAATCTTATGTACCCTAGTACAAGATTTCTTGTAGCTTTTTCCAAATTAGTTGATTTAACTAATATGATATTAAATAATGCTCGCCACAAAGGAAATATTATTAAAAATATATCCGAAAAATTTATGTCAAAATGATTTGGACTGGATCGGGTGCCAAGAGCACCATGAAGCAATCAAAAAGAAATTTTTACTTCTTGGGGCTAAAATCCAAGTGTTTCACTGGTGTCGAACAATAAACAGAATATTAAATGGAGCGCATTGTATATTTGATTTTAACAATGCACAAAAAATAGCTTATAAAAATGTTTAAACAAAGAAAAAATAAAAAATGAACCTATTAAATGTGTTTTTTATTTAAATTACTTAATCATAAATAATAGAACTAAATTAAGATTAACGTGAATACAAAAGGAATCGATAAATTGAATGCTCATCCCTATCCCTTGAGAATCTATCGATATCATTAATAATCTACACGTCCCAACACTAACCAGCTAGCCATCTAGCGAGAAAAAGCTTGCCCTCCAAAGCTCCAAACCACACAGAACACTATTACTCCGATAGGAGTAATAGTGTTAAACATACATAAACACTCACGCCTGTCACCCAGAGGGGTAGGCAGAGACTACAGACTTCCATTTGGCACGATCCTGACACACCTCTCTCGCCTCCTTCACATCCATACACCTCCGCATACATGCTCGTCGGTTAAGGGTACTCCTAATTTGGCCCGTTTTCAATAAATCGCCAATTTGGTCGATAAATTTTCGCCTAGGACGTCCCTTTCCGACTCTGCCATTCACTTCTGTAACATAAATTTTCTTTGTCACTCTTTCCTCATTCATTCTTTCCACATGACCAAACCACCGAAGCATTCCTTTCTTAATCCTGGTCACAACATCATCTTGCAAACCACACTCTTCTCTTATTACACAATTTCTTACCCTGTCATTAAGATTCAGCCCTAACATACTCCTTAACGACCGCATTTCTACTGCGTTCATTCTACTCTCGTGCTTCTTCTGCCACACCCAACTTTCACTACCATATGTTAAAGTAGGGACCAACACAGCATTGTGAATTGCCATACGTGCCTTTTTCGACACATTTTGACTCTTCACAATAGAGTGCAGGGCCCCATTTACTCTATTTCCCGCATTCACTCGTCGTTCTATATCCCTATCATATCTCCCATCCCTGCTAAATACGCAGCCCAAATATACAAACTCGTCTACTTGCTCGATCAATTCCCCTTCTATTCTTATTTCACAAATCGTTTTACTTTCTTCTCTTTCAAAAACCATAACCTTCGTCTTACTTGCGTTCACTTTCATACCCCTTTCTTTTAATGATCTGTCCATTAATGTAACCATCATTTGCAACTCGGCCGCCGACGACGCAAGTATAACTTGATCATCGGCGTACAAAAGGCATTTGACGGTTAACTCACCCATTCTTAATCCGCATTCTTCAACTTTCAAATTTTGCAAACAACTGTCCATAAATAGGTTGAACAGCCACGGGGAAGCTACACAGCCCTGTCTGACACCTTTATGGATGTCAAACCAGTCCGAGTAGACCCCGTTGATCCTAACACAAGCACTAGAGTCCCTATAAAGGGACTCCAATGCCCGTATCAAGCCAGCGCTCAACCCAAATGAGTTCAGTGTTTGCCATAGCACATCCCTATTCACTCTGTCATAGGCCTTTTCCAAGTCCATGAACGCACAAAAAACCTTTTGGTTTTTGGCCAAAAACTTCTCCGCGATCATGCGCATGGAAAAGACTTGATCTGTACATCCCATTCCCTTTCTAAATCCTGCTTGCACATAATAGTGTTCTGTGCTCCAAACTAGCTACGGTGACGTACTGGCCTATCTGTCCTGTACATCTAACTTTATAATTTGTGTGTGCTTGTGCGAGTCCAGTATGCGTGTGCATGTGCAGAGTTCGAAAGGGCATCAATTTTGAAAAATTTAAAAAAAACAAAAAGGATTTGTTTGAAATAATTTCAATCGAAAATCGAATTCAAATAATTTCAAAAAAAGTTTTTTTTTTTCAAACAACTGAAATTTCTTCTCGGATCGTTTTTGGTGTATTAAATTAACTATGAGTGCCTAAAAACTGCGTCGAACGTCTTGAAGTTCGTCAAAATTTGTTCATTTTTTCTTGAAATATTCACTTCTGAAAATAATAAAAAATTACCTGGGTTTTCAAAATTATGACGTTTTTGATAAGGTGGAATTCGGAACATTTGCATTTGAAATTAGTGGGAAGTTCCAAGCCTATTTTTTTTATGTGTGTTAGAACTTTTTTCTAGGTGGACCGATTTTGATGATTCTTTATTTATTTGACAGCTGGTGCTTCTCATATAGTCCCAAATAAGTTTAATCAAGGTCTGAACCAGGTTTTTAGTTATATGCCTATTTTATTGACTTCGAGTAAATTGATGATGTTCTGATTTTATTTATATTGAAGTCGGTTATACAAAATTTTTAATTTTACCACTTGTTATAAATTAGTTTTTCTATGTAACTATGTTGGGTTGGGACAACCACAATAACCAATAGGATTGAAACAAAAAAGGTATATTTAGTATGTATCACATACTTTTGTTTGTCTTAGTTTTAGTAAGTTTATTTAACAATAGGTACTACCTATATAGCACTCTTCACAAAGCATTATCAGTCTAGCTTCAAGATCAAAGTTAAAATATTCTTACATAACTTTGTTCTAAAATTCTGAATAACAAATTTTTTTGGTTGTAGCTAATACTCTTTGTTGACTTTCTTCATATTGCCTTCGCTCAATTCCGTGCACAAGGAACATTAATTAATGATTACTACTTAAATTACAATAATAATTATCTAATTAACAAGATATAGGGCCACTAAGTTAAAAAGTATTTCTATCAAGTATTTTCTGAATAAATAAAAGAAAATTAATACTCCGAAATGAAATATTATTTCTTGTAAGTTAGCAACTTTACAAGTATATTCAAAATAAATATTCTCAAATAACTAATAATAACTTCTTGTAAGGTAACATATAATTAAGTTAGTATTCTCAGCAAAAAGTAATATCCTAATAAAACTATGCACATCCATGAACAAATTGCACTCTTACTCTTTCCCTGGCTCAATTGATTCATTCACGTAGAGCCAGCCCAAACTTGAGTAGGTAAGAGAGATCCAATTCAAATTTACTCAAGTTAAGCGCTACTCAAGTTAGTAGTTTGATTTTTTAGGGTATGAAATGTGAAAGTTATAGTGATAAAGCATAAGGTTTTGTTCAAATAAAACGTAAAAATGTTATACTTACATTTACTTTTTCACCTGACATCAATTTTAAAGATGGAAAATCTATCTTAACATTTTCAGAACTATGATTGACTAATATAGTTTTAGGAATTAATTCTGAAGAATAATTCATTTTAATATTTTATGCTGCTTCAGTATTTTAACTGAAGAAAGTTGACTCATGAAGAAATTTCTGCTTTTGTCTTTTTCCTGAAGCTGGTCTAGGAATTGAACTGCTTTATCTTTTGCGGTTAGGTTGATAATTAAACTTGTGTGGTACTATATCAACTTTAATCTTTGCTCTGCCTCCCCTCAAAGTATAATAAAAATAATTTTCCACATCTTCTTTAAACTAGAAAAAATTGTTAGTTAGCATAATGATTTTGATATCATTGTGATTACAGAATAATCATCAGATGTTGAACTTAGCTTGCTATAAATTTTTAAATTTAAAAAAAGAAAAATCATTTAATAGATATATCCACATCTATTACGAAATTGTCAAAAGTTAATTATTCAAACTGTTGATTTATCGCGATTTCTCTGTTAGCTCTAAAATTTCTAATTTTATTACAAAAAATATTTGATGCAACTTTGATTTAAACTACTTTTATGGATTTTATTGCATTTATTTGTGTTATTTTTAATACCCGACATTTCAGGTGCTTTCCAGCACCCATTGTCAAGGGGGACTGAGGTGACTGACTTCCCGATGTCAAAGTTAACCTGGAGTACATGCAGCTTTTTAATAATTATCCTTGGTCCGATCTACGCAGAATGAACTAACTGAGTTTTGAAGTCTTGCAGTGGTATGCCTGGGTTTAGTTTTAATTTTATTAATTATAGGGCCCCAAGCATGTGGTAGTACCCAGACTCCTTCTCTATTGAAATTAGAATGTTTTTTAACCTCACGTATCATCCTTGGTAGTTCTTTCGCGAGGATTTGTGGTCTATCAAATCTGATGTAATGGTTGGGGCCTTCTAGGATATGATCGCAAACTGCAAACTTCAGGACGTCAGTCGCCTCAGTTCCCCATGACCATGGGTGCTGGAAAGCACCCGAAACATCGGATATTAAAAATAACATAAATAAACCTGATAAAATCCCTAAAAGTAATATTCGGGTAAATATAAGAAATCAATTTTTTTATTTAATATTTTCATGTATGATATGAATGATTTATACATATACAATTATATTATAATACTTACATCAAAATGATCTTCACAACAAAAATATTTCAATGTTGTAGGGTTACGACGGTATGCTCGCTGAAAGCATTGACTCCGACGTTTAGGGTCTCGAGGCACATTAAAAACATATTTTTGGGAGTTGTTATTACTACATAACGGAACGAAACAAGCACGATAACTCTTGAAATTAGACATTTTTTAAAAAATTAACTAAAAAATGGATGAATAAATGCATCAGCTGCCTATAAAGTAGAAGTAAAATAAACAATGTGACGTCTTGTCGGGCTTTCTCTGGAACTCTGGAACCTTATGATTTTTGGTCAAAAAAATAGTTTAACTATAAAAGATATATTATAATCTTTCTATTTCTGACAAAAAAAAAAACATTTTCAAAAACCCAATTATAATTATATTATAATTAATTAACCCAATTATATCAGCTGTTACCTACCTACGTCGGATTGGGTTATTATGTGCGCTTGGTTTACATTACAATTCGGTCGCCTGAACGAATTTGAAGATTCTGTCTGCGTTGTATCCTCTTAGTAGTCTGTGATTCTGTCACTGTTAGCTTGCTACATATTTATTTATCTATGGTCACTGTGAGGAAGTCAAGGGGGTTTTTTTCAGGTTATACAAAGGTTATGGGTGCGTTTGGCAGAAAAAAGCGCTAGCAAGCGCTTATAAGCGCTGAAATAGATTTCGGTAAGGACATGATTGCTACTTCAGTAGCGCTGACACAATCCGCCGTTTTGCTTATTTAATTTGTTTTTTTTGAAGTAGAGTTTATAAGTTGTTTTGCGCAATATTAGTTTTAAGTAATATAATGACATGAATAAACATATACATGTTATTAAAAATTCATGATTGGTAAGTTTTTAATATGAATACTTTACAAACATATATTTAAATTAGGTTAGGTTCCCCGGTTAAAACTAACATCGTGTCCTGGAGGAAAATAGCTACTTACAATTTGACAGCGCTTACCGCTTACGATCGCCATTTTGCTTACAAGCGCTTGCTAGCGCTTTTTTCTGCCAAACGCACCCACTCTGTGGGGGGTTTATCTGAAGCACCCATAGATAAATAAATATGTAGCAAGAAGCACTCACAGACTACTAAGAGGATACTACGCATGGAAGCACCCATGCGTAGTATCCTCTTAGTAGTCTGTGAAGCACCCTCACGCAGTGTTGGGAAATAGTTGGTGCGAAATTATTGTGTTGCCAAGCTAGAAAATATTGTATTTTGGATAGGATTATTGTATTTTTTTGCTAAAGATTTTTTTATTTATTTAAGCTGTCTAAATCCAAATTTAATAGGTTTTTGCTATTTCTTTATATTTGCATAACTTAAAAACATGTTATTAATTGTTTTTTTATTAAAATAATAAAACTTAGGGCACGGAATTAAACAATATGAACTAAACAGGAATGGAAAATTCGAAGTCGTCTTCTTCTTCGAATTCGAAATCTCGACATGTAGATGTAGACCGATTTGACTGCAGAGAAGTTGTTGGATACAGGACATTGGAGACAATTTGATTTGCCAATAGTTTCGTGGGTTCAAATGATATACATTCCTATACAAGACGTTTTGCGCCTTTAGAAGCGATAACTACATTATCTCCTTCCCCCCGGACATTCGAGAAGATCAGACGTGTTCATTTTGTTGTTTGATAATTAAAATTCTAGTATATTTAAAATTCTAGTATATTTAAAATTCTTGTAAAATAATATTAGTGGAATAATAGGAGATCATACGTTACGAAGAGCATCAAGCTTAAAATTGTCACCGCAATGTGGATGCGTGTGCGACTAAACAATACAATCATAGAAGAAACAAAGACACTGTTATGCATGTGAGTTACCTTTGCAATCTACTATCTCACCTTTAAAGCATAAGCACTACTTCTAAGCGAATTGAGACAGCATTTGTAATATATATGAATTAAGTAATAATTACCGTCTAGAGATCTACTAATACTAGACGGAAAGGCAATTTGTAAGAAATCGTCGATTGCCACCAATTTAATTTGACCTCTCACGTCTTGGATCACTTTCATAAGGGTTAAGTTAGTGTGTTTTACGCTGTCCGCATAGTAGCTGTATTAACAATCTACGAATAATTTCTGTTGCCCTAGTAGGTACACCCACGTACCGGTAAAATATGTCCCTTAAGAGAACCCCGCCGCTAGCACCCACAAACCTTAAAATGTAGCCTTAAAATGTTGGCGTAGCTCATTCTCATATACACTTAGATCCAAACTTGAGTATATCTGTCGATATCGAGGATGCGAGGGCGAGGATTAGTAATCTAATGTGACGCAGCGTAATTTTAACACAAAAAGGAGGAGAGAAAATTTAGGAGAAAAGAGTGATTTAGACGACTTTAAGTCATTAATGATGAATATGTTCCAAGAGCTAAAGACTACAATGAACGAGATAAAAGATCAAAACAAAGATCTTAAGGAATCTGTTAAATTCACAGCTGCAAAATATGATGAGGTACTGGAAAAGTTGCAAAAAATTGAAAAGGATATGACTGAAGATCGGAAATACATACGTCAATTAGAGGATAAAATAGACCAACTAGAGAGGCAAACCCGTACTACCAGCTTAGAGATAAGAAATTTACCAAAAGAAAATGATGAAAGTAAGCAGGGACTCTCTAAAATAGTCGTTGAAATAGGTAAAATTATCAACGTGCCAATACACGAAGCTGACGTGAAGGATATATTCCGCATTAACGCTAAGAAAAACAAACCCCTAGTAATCGATCTTAAATCTGTCATTCTCAAGGAACGGATTTTGCATGCTGTCAAAAAATTTAATAAAGAAAATAAGGAAAATAAATTAAACACTAAGCATTTGAAGATGGATATGCCTAGTGTCCCAATTTTTATATCTGAGAATCTTACCACAAAAACTAAGCGACTGTTCTTCTTAGCGAGAGAATATGGATCCCAAAACAACTTTAAATATTGTTGGACATCGTACGGAAAGGTGTTTCTCAGAAAATAAGATGGTGCACCACTTATTCGGATTGAGTCAGAAATCGACATAAGTAAATTAAGAAATAAATTGTGACTCATCTTTTCAATGTCAGATTTAAGTATCTGTTATGCTATTAAATATCTGCGTTCCACCTATTTACTCAAAGAAAATATTTCTATACTTAGATTAGTCTTATCAAAATATTTATATTTTACTTTATTAATATCGAATAATGTATCACAGCGCCTGCTTCATACACAAACACATTACACTACTGTCACTCAAATTCATGTCATAATTATTCTCACACAAATACAGACACTAACTATTATTCATAAACCATACAATATAACTCATTACACAATACAACTCATTGATCTATATAACCGCCTGAAACTCACTAACATTTTTTATTATTTTTGTACGCGAGCTCTGCAGTCCTTCAATTCTATTTATTCAAATTCAATTGTTTAAACTTAGATATAATTAGTGAGATTGACACCGCCGGTGACATCAAGTGTACAATAGTAAATAATCTTGCATGATTTAGAAACGATACTTATTTTAAATATTTAGGCAACAATTCATCAAATATTATAACAGTTAACATTCGTAGTATTCAATGAAACCTAGAACCATTTATAATATTTATAGCTGAACTTGAGGTACCAATAGATATAATCGTTCTAACGGAGTGTTGGATTAATGAAAACACAATTATCCCTATAATTAATAATTACAACTCATTTAGTACTAAAACAAACCATAATCAGAATGACGGTGTTGTCCTATACGTAAAAGAAAATATTACAAATGTACAAATATATGAACCTAAAATAAATGATGGCAGTTGCTTAGTCCTAAAAATTGTAAATAAAATTTCTTTAATCGCTTCTTATAGATCACCAAGTTTTAGAAACCCCACGGCGTACCTCGATTCTATAGAAAAATTGCTAAGTGAGACTTACTCAGAAAATATTATTTTTACAGGAGACATTAATCTTGATATCCTCCCGCAGAATATTACAGGATACTCCTCAGATTATTTAAATCTTATGGCAGCGTACGGCCTTAGACAAGGTATTGATAAACCAACGAGAAAAGTTAGTTGTATAGATCATTGTATGGTCAAAAGTAGTAGTTCAGTACAAAAAACATTTGTATTCGAACCTTTTACTGATCATTGCCCAATACTCCTACATCTTGGAAATTCTGATCTGAAGAGAACTAATTACCAGTATGACAAAAAGAATATAGACTTTAATAAATTAGGCGTAGCACTGAAATCTCTCCCATGGGTAGAATACTATAATTTAAAAACCGTAGATGAAATGGCAAGTTTTCTGGTCTCCAAACTGCAAGAATGTATTGTAGCCAATAGTACAGTGAAAATTATTGCAAGCAAATATAAACCCTTAAAGCCTTGGCTAACTCCAAATGTTATTAAATGTATACGCAAAAGAGACAAATTACTTGAAATCCTAAAGAAATCGAGTGATGATGACTATCTAAAAAAGAATTACTTAAGTTATAGGAACATCTGTAATTCTATGTTAAAAACTCTAAAACGCAACTACTACCAATTACAGCTGGCTAAGTCTGTTGGTAACTCAAAAAAAAAAAACATGGCAAATAATAAAAGAAATAAGTAATTTAAAACAAAATAAATCAGTATCTACGGAATTATTAAACATAGATGTAATAGTGGAGACGAACTGTCCACTATTAACAGACTCCGAGTGGTTTGCTTTAAGGTGGAGAAATGAAACTACTGTTTATGTTTATGAATGTACTGTCGAATGGGATTCGGAATGGAATATCTTTTGCATCAACCTTGCCTATATTTATATGGCTGGCTCACTATTGATTTGCCAATGGTAACAATTAATATTTTGCCTAGCCAATTATATTGCTTATTTTATGACCAATGAAAACTATTTAAAATATACAATTATCTACGTTTCGTTTCCCGGCGTGAGACTTGTTTGTTGTTCACGAAGCTACGTCGCTGGACCGGGCTATATAAGACATGCAGATCGGTGCGCACGCCCCCATTCCGCCTGTGGCATCGCTTCCGAGCGGTTGCATCCAGGTAGTCCGCGCTTTCGTTCCTGTACGGTAGTGCTCCCCGCTCTCGCGCCCCCGCTGTCCCGCTCGCGCTGTACAGCGCCGACGCAGTGCTCAGTCCGCCGGCGGCAC